AGGTGTCTGAGTTTCTGTCAGCAATCAAGGCTTTTATAGAGCACATGAAGCAGAAAGAATAGGTTGTCCTCACCCCTGAGGCTAAATAAAAACTTGCTACACACGTCTTCACAGCATGTTGCAAGGGATACATTTGTGCGTGCAAAGTGTGCACATGGGAAGTGAGTGTGGAGCCAGACACAATAAAGGAGAATACGTGGGAGGGGGCACTTCTTTTTCTGAGGATTTGAGGGAGATAGGTTATGTAGGTCCCTTTTACTCTCTCCCTCTTTCTGTCACTCTTGCTCAGACTGAGTGAGAAACACCATCTCTCTGCCTGACTCTTCATACCAGTGTGGGCTTCTGTGTAGGTTGCAATACGACATTTGTTCCTAGAGATTTAAGAGCTGTGGCAAGAAAGAAAAGGCGTGAAGCGGGGGGGAAAAAGGGTAACGGTGATAGCTAGAAAATAACCTAATTTGCTCAAGTGAAGAGATACCACACAGGGATTTTCTAAGTGCCTCCAATTTGCACAGGTAAGATGCTTTATCTCTATCCACTCTCTTGTTGCATGCACTGACATTTACAAATACAGATTCACACAAGTAAAGAAACGGACAAAAGCATATAGTGTTTTTTTTACTAATGTTTATAGAAATGTTTATTTTTTTATTAGATTTATTTTTGATTGTTTTAAATTAAGGAGTGCGTATAAATATAAGGTGTCTTAGTCTTATTTGCTAAAATTCAGAATTCTAATTCTAATTGTTGTATGCTGTCATTTACTTTTTTTTTAGATTTTATTAGCATATATATTTTATAAATATCTTCATGAAGCAGTCATCACAGAGGGAACATACTGGACAAAGTCATTAGAACTCTCTGTGAAAAGGGGCTCAAATGCTGTACTAACGTAGTCACTTAATAACGCTGTCATTAAAGTGGGTCTCTTTAGGATGATCGGCAATTAAGACCATTGGTCAGGTTTGAAAGAAGTCTGGCAAACAGTGTTTATAGGGGAGAATGAGGCAAATTGCAAGGCATAGAGGGAAGGCATCTGTGACAAGGCGCATCAGTGCTTATTAGTCCTGAAAGCCAGCCATAAAATCTGAATCATTATTGTATAATCTGGTATATTTTTCATCACGCGCACTATTTCTGCAGGCTGTGGGGTACTTGGTGTAATTCATACTTCTGACTGTATACACATGCTAGAACAATGTGTCTGTGCTCTATTTAGCAATCATTTAAGGGTGTTCAGGTGCAAACTAGAAATGTTCCATTTTATAAAATACAGGAGTTTTGATGACATTTCTATGAATTTACTTATGATGTTATTTACTTATTGGTTTTACATCAAGGGATTTTTACAAAACAAAGATAGAAATTATCCACATAACACAAAAACACACAGACACAGTCCAGGGTCTCATATTGAATGTACTCGTGCAAAACACCAATAAAGATTTAGAGCCAACTATAATTTTGAACTGCTACGGAATCAAACTCATTTCTCTTGGGCATGACAAATTTACGATGATGAAACTTTCTGGATAAAACACACAAAAAACAGGTATGTGTATATCTTTATCCATAGAATACAAGATATGTTATTTATGGTCAATCAAAGTAAAAAAAAAAACTGAAGGTATTAAATTAGAGATGCACCTACTTACCAAACATCGACATCTTCCAATACATGCTGATTGCTGTGCAGCAAGTGTCATCGTCGTGGGTGAAGAGGTAAAAAATGTACTGTACTGAATGCACTAGCCTATTTTTCAGTGATGTGACTTCATTTTTGTGTTGCTTGTTTTGGGAATCCAGCTCACACTACTGAATTTGTATTCATTCAAGTTTGCATAATGCTTGTATGTATCCAGAGCAAAACAGAGGAATTAATTTTTTGCAACAAAACTAAATAAATAATAAAAATTAGATTAAAAAAAACATCATCAGCACTGGCGTTCTCTAAACATGAGTGTAGGCACATAAATTCACAATCTGTGGAGAAAAAAAATCTGGTACTCCATGGCATCTGCAGCACTTTGCATCTCTGTGCATCTCTAATTGAATAGAGATGCAGAGTGGTTGGTGTACACTGCCACAATTACCTAGCCAAATACTGAACAGTACTAGATTTTTAGGTTGTCAAAAACACACACACGATCGCAAACAAGACCACAAAATCAGGAACTAAAATTCTTCTTGCGTGAATGTGGAAACAGCCAATATAAGCCTGGATAAAGAATTTCACAATGTGTGGATTTTGGAAAAATAAAAAATGCTGAGCTGAACACTACTACGTGATCGCAAACAAGACCACAAAATTGGGAAATTAAACTGCTGAAAGTCCTTGCATGAATGTGGCAATAGAATAGCCTGATAGGAAGAATCTGTTTTGTTGGCTATAACATGCTCTAAATGCTCTCTTCTAAAAAGATCTTCTTAACTGGAAAGAAATGGTTACATCTTTTAGTTTTAATTCATCTTACCATTAGGTATAAGTGTTAATTTTTCTGCCCCTTGCAATCACTGAATGTTTATATGTGTGTGTCTGAACAAGTCTTAAGTTGTTCCAAGACAGAGCCAATACTATTAGGCAGGCTCTGACCTCTCTTAATTAAAGGGTCAGAAGGTCATAAACATTTAGGAGTCAATCATTAGCCCTGCAGACTAAGAAAGATAGTAATGCTGCTGTTTATAATTCCACTGTTACTGTCTTGAGGATGTTTTAAGATAGGATCTAGTTTAGACTTTTGCAACAGCACCAGTTCACACAGAATGTCTTGTGTGTAGAGACAAAAATATGCCATCCAAAGTTGTTAGTCCAGCAGTTGCTGAGGTGTCTGCACTGGAATCATCAGCAGGCAATAATGTCGTCCAGGAGCAAGCCTACATACTCAATTCAAATAATGAGGGACACCATTAAGCTACCTCATCAGAATTTCATAGACTGAACCTTGACCTCATTTGTGTCTCATATTTGTCCAACCTCTGCCTCTTTTTCTCTCAGGATGCCTCAGCAGCCTCAGAATGACATAAATACTGGAGTTTTATCAAGTGCCGGGTTAGGAAATGTCAGTAGAGTCAGAGAGGCCACAAAAAGGTCAACGTAAAGAAAAATAAGGAGAGCAGACAAACTGGGGTGCGAGAGAGTCTAAAGGAGTTGCTCTTCCTGTTTTGCATTTTGAGGGTTCTCAATTCCCATCACGCTTCACAAATTAGCTGCAGGGTCTGGATGGCTTCCACAAAGGCCATGGCAACAGTGTTACTAGGCAAGGGTAGATTTCTTTCAAGCTGTCAGATAAGGTAGATAGAGTGAGGCCAGATGGGATCAGAAAACATATTCCTGCTCTTGATTATTGGCACGTGCACAACAACAGGTTCTGAATTAAACATGGAAAATTGTCAAACATGCTGAGTGAGCTGACTGATTCACTAGAGTGGATCTTTCTACTAAAGATTGTATCAACAGTCTGAAACATTTGTTCTCTGTGCGAAGGGACAGATAGCTCAGCTGTGCTCCCACATTTTAGAGCTCGGACCTAATTAAAATACTGATATTTTATTGTGTTCTTTATTCTTCATACAAAAGCCTGAGAGGCAGATTCCATCTTGTGGATCTTAGTATTCTACAGCAGCTTCGCCATGGGCTTAATTTCAGCCTGACTGGGATCATGACCTTTTGAAAAATTGTCAGACAGGATTTAATATCAGTGGCAAAAAGTGACTCATAAATTGTGATATTTTTTTTTGGCTGTGATGGTGAATCTTTTACTTATGGGTGTGTGTGCACTGCAGAAATAAGAATTTTTGCAAAATTTTTTAAAGCTAGTACAAGTAATACATGCTCTGGAAAGGTCACACATGTCAGCTTATAATCTTCTGCTCATATTGAGTTGGTCTGACACCTATTGACTGGAAAGCATCAACCCATTCAGCTGCACAAACTGCACTGCAAGAACTAGCATTTGATATGTTTGCTTCTGGGGATGTCAGTGCTACTAGTCTGGATTGCCATAAATTTTGTACTCCAATTTTAAATTTTCCTTTTATGTTACCGCATCATGTTTAGGAAGTCTCTCCAAAACTATTGGATGGGCTGCCACTGAACTTGAGATGAATGTCTTTCGGTGGATGAAGTGAATTCCATTTTTAAGTTGCTCCTGATTGCATTGCTCCATTCACTTTCTCACTCACTCATCTCGCTGTGAGTGGTCAGCAAGTCTTAAGTGTTCTTAAGACTTGCTGAGTCCATAACATGCCTCACAAATTTGCATTACATTATGTGTGAACACAGAGTTAGGAAAGGAGCAATAGATAAAAGTATGCTAAATGCTAAATGTTTTACCCCCATATATACTGTTTAAATGCAGTTGCTGCAGACTACAGTAAGAATAAAAGACTGAAAAATGCTTTATTCATAGATTACTGAGTAGAATTTCAATCAGCTACCAGATGTTTAAACGTCTGTCTTGTTCAGGGAAAACCTTAAGTTTATCCAGGCACCTTCCTGGAAAACAAATAAAATGTATGACACATAAATATTTGGGTTAGTGTTCTGAATGGTAATGTGTTTCCCTGTACAAAACACAGAAGGAGGCTGATGCTTTGTTTTTGTTCCTCTGTGAAAGCTCTGTCCTGACTGGTGTGCATGGTCTCCTGGAACACTTTGCACTCAGTATCCACAGCAAACAATTAAGTTGGAAGTGGGCATGTTGTTTTTGTTAGTAGATGAAGACCAGTCTATTACAAGTCATGATCTGCTTAAAAAAAACTTAAGGGAACAATTGACTCATATGTCACATTTTAAAGAAAGAAATAGTCAAGTTGAAAATCTTTACTGATAAAGACAATGCAATTTATTGAGAGCAATAAGATGTCACTGGAAATACAAAATCATCAAACTTTTGAGAGCAAGATTCAAAATCACCCTAAAAAGCTAAAAATGTAAATCACTGGGAATGAAATCAATGAAATGATTTGCTTCATAATGTGGCTCGGTGGGGTTTGTGGCCCCCATAAACAACAGATGGTCTATGGATGCACTGATACATCCCACAGGTTCTGAGTTGGATTCAGGGCTGGGCAACGTGAGGGCCAGTCAATGGCATCAATGCCTTCATCATTCAGTAACAGCCTACACGCTCTAGCCACAAATGGCCAGCTCATGTCCTGCCAGGGCCCACATTACCAGCACATGTTCTGACAGAGGGTCTGAGGTTACCGTTGAGTAACACTTCCTACATCTAGGCTATTCCCCAAGGACATCCTACCCCATATGATCATTGACCCACTCTCAAACCTAGATTAGGCTGCATGTGATATACCACTCAGATCATGACAGCATTACAGAATTCATTTTATTACTTCACCGAGGAGACATGCAAAACAAGCAAGCTGTCAATAGAACATCACTGAGCACAGACTCTTCACCAACCATGCATTTGGATTATTTGCTCTTCAGTTCAGTTCAATTGCTAAATAGACTGAGTGTCAGGGGCCTGGGTCTGTGATCCACAATTGTGAGTTT